TATATATATATATATATATATATATACACACATATATTAACTAATTATATTGTATATTATTTTATATTTCGTATGTATTTCGATCACGAAATGTATACGCATGTTACTACTGTGTCTAAATAGTGCAAATTTTAATGATTAATATCTCGATTCATGGAATAGAGCGACACTTTTTTCTGTCAAATTCTTTCGTTTCGTGCAAAAACGCGTCGAATAAATCTAATTTCATTGAAATGGAGGTGGGGCCCCTACTTAACATTTACGTTTTTAATTATAAAAATCTGCGTCATTATTTACATATGTCTATATGATGCAGGAATTCCTTACTGTGCTAGCAAGAAATGAAAATAAATTAATTATAAAAATATTGACTTTTCACTGTTTATAAATATGTAATAATTTCTAATTGATAATATGTAAATTAAATCTAATAAATTATAGAAAAAATTTTCCAAAATTGCATAAATTTTTATTAAAAGATTAACAGGTTTTCTCTGAAAATATCCCTATATGATCAGCATTACAATTGACTCTCACCTCATCACAAATGGAAGTATATAAATAAAATTAAATTTGCACTAAATATTCACTGGCAGTATGTCACGAAAACATTTCATAGAAAAGAATTCGTAGTATTCGTGACGGTTGTAAACTTCTTTTCAAAGAAAATAATAAAATTACTAATAAACTACTCTAAATACTTATAGCAAGTCTCGCATGAAATGAGATAAATGATCTTATCAGATACGAATCAGTAAAAGTCTTATTTGTAATTACTAATTACATTAGGCTTTTCTCTATCTTGTCTTTTAAGTCTCATTATTCGCAGTTACAATAAATTGAACATAATATACAATCGTCATAGTTGAGTTCTATATACAACAAGTTTGGACGTATTTTAATAAAATGAGAATGTTTAAGAGAAGATACGAATACTGTCTGTAATTATAACATATCTGTATATGTACAATAGAAGCTCCATATTTATATATATTATAATATATTGTATATATTCGTAAATATAAAATAATTTGCTTTAGAAAGCGATAAAGAAAAAAATTATTTTTGTAATTGTTTCTATTCTGAATTGTTTTGAAAATTAGCAATAGTTTTTATTTTGAATACATCAATTTTTGATAAAATACCTTAAAATGAATTGGAGAAAATGTGTGTGTGTGTGTGTGCGCGCGCGCGCGCGTGTGTGAATATAAAATAACAAAATTGTTTATAATATATAAATATATAAATTATAAAATAAAAATACATACAAATATAAGTTTTATATATAATTTGTGTTTCCTCGTTTCGTTTTTATTCATCATGTTCATATATTTTACTTTTCAGAATTGATTTTTATATTTAGACGATTTAGTAAAATATGAGTCTTACATAAAAGAGAAAAGATATGGAGCTTTTACTGTATATCACAAAACGCGAATGCAATATATATATCTCGCTGAATACATATAAAATAGCATTATACAAAATCTACATTCGTATGAGAAATATATAACATATTTACACACGTCTGATTAATTAAGTGCAAGAGCGGATTTATATAATGTCCTATAATACGTGGTCTTTAAAATGTTTAATGAATTTATAAAATTTTTATAAAATGATATGATAGGCCAACCATTGCAATTTCTTTAGTCAAAAAAGGTATTTCGAAAACTTTGCAATATGTTAAATGTGCAATAACATGATTATTATCCACAAAATCATATTTAATACGCAATGAACACTTTCAAATGTTGTATTAGAAATATATAAAATTCTTAAAATTGAATTTTGTATGTAACCATGTACATATAAATGCGTACCTGAGAGGAAGGACGGGAATAAATCTGAAATATTATTAGAAAAAGAATGAATATTTAACCCACGCTACTCTATAAGAAATTTGTTCGTACGAGATCCGTATACTAGCTGCTCGATTCTTAAATTAATCCGAAAACGTACAAAAGTATGTGCTAAATGCAAAGAATGTCTTATAAATTATAAATAATATATACGGGGTAATTCATTTTAACTTTAACAGAAAAAATATTTCGAAAAATAGAGTTCTTCTCGGACGTTAAATGAATAGGACATTTTTTGTCCTCACATAAATTTTTGTATTGCGTCATGCACTTATTAAGATAAAGAGGAAATGAAACTTAGGAAAGCAAGAAAAGGGAAAAAGAGAGGACTTGTATTATATAACTCGAAGGTGGTTGAAGATACGTAGCTGGGTTACATCCGGCACTCTTCAAACCGAAGAGATCTAACTCTCAAAAAATATATTTCGAAAAATATGGAAGATATGGAAAATCATTTCAGAAAATTTTATGAGGACATAAGATAATACCATTGATTTGACCTTGGATAGTCGTTTGAAGATCACATGAAGATCATTTTCAATTTTTTAAATGGAAATCCTCATTTTTCATTATATATTCTTGTAGCTTACTTCGAGAGTTTATCAAAATACTATAATAAAATTATTTTTTATTAAATATAATTTTACGAAGTTTTTATGAAGCTTGAATTTGATATACAATTTAATATAAAGCATAAAATATAAACTCTTCATTTTTTTGGCAACATCTTAATAGTTTTATACATAGAACAATGAAACGAATCAATTGGTGTGAAGAAGAAATTGTTTTTCAAAAAGGATATTGGCTACACCATTGCAAATCTCCATTTTTTTTTTAAACAATTATGTATTTTCTTTGCATCAATTGATTCATCTCATTATTTTGTGCATAAAAGTATTAAGATATAGTTGCCAAAAAATGAATATGAAATATTTTATATCTTGTGTCAAATTGTATGTCAAATTCAACCTTATAACTAAGAAAATACTTACTGAAAAAATACTTTATCATAGCATTTTAAAAAGCTCTCAAGGTCAGCTACAAAAATATGTAATCAAAAAAAAGAGAGGGGTTTCAAAAAAAAAGTTGATTTCTATGTGATCTTAGCACTGAAGGTTAAACTAATGACACCATCTTATGTCTTCCTTGAAGTCATAAAACTTTTGTACGAAACATTCTTCGATACAAGCCTTAGTTTTCGAAATATTTTGGTTGTTAACATTAAAAAAGATGAATCACCCCGTATATACCACAATATTAATATATCACAATACGAAGATGCCTCAAGCTTCCTATAGTTTGCTGTAAGTCTATGCCGTCAGTACGCGCAAATACACGTATTCCTGACGTAAGTCTTTCGCTCTATATATATGTATTTTGTATATGTATGTATATATATATATATATATATGCAGGCACATAAAGACTTCGCTA